AAAAAAAAAAATCCTTGCGCTTACCTCTCTGAAATTGTGACGGTGGCACTGATCGACGAGGTGTCGGACGCGAATTTCGGACTCGACAGCGGTGCACGGCGTGCGCTTGTGCGCGTCGCCAGCGATATAGACGACGACACCTGTACGTGTGTGCGCGTGTGCGCTCGCAAGCGTCGGTGACGGTGTCGTGGGTACGCGTACGGATCACCACCACTCGCCAGGAACCGCGGGTCTGGAGTGTGGCACCAGCGGTAGCGGCGGCAGCACCAGCGGCAGCAGCACCAGCGACGGCCTTGCGTGTCGCCGAGGGTTGTCAACAGGTGCCGCGAGAGCGCGAGGCGGCTGCAGGGGTATCGTGCGCCACCCGTACGTGGGGGGTCGGTGCAGTGGGGTGCGGGTAACTTTGAGGGTCCGCCGCCGTGGGTCGTGCCGACTGCGCGTAGACCCGTACTCGGCCGCCATCTCACCCGCCGCCGGCCTTACACGCAGTTTCCCAAACTACCAACTCCTCCTCTCCGTTGAGCTTCAACTTCTCTCTGAGCCCCGGAAAACCCGCTCGAAAATTCTTCGTATACGCACTCGCATGATTCGAGCCCCCCTACCCCTTCCCACACATACACRCACTTTGTTATAGGCCCGAAAACGTATCTTATTATCTCTGTTTATTTTCTTAATTGTGTTCGATAATGATTAYGCAACAATATATTACTTTATATAAGTACATCGAAACAACAGTGAAGTGATTCGTCTGTGATTTGGACAATAAATTGGACGCTTTCCGATATAGATCACTATGGAACAATTAGGAATTTATTAGTTTTTTTTCTTTAATTCTAAACCATAGTTTCAAATTAAGCTTAGTGAAAATAGCTGACTGTTTTTAAGAATGATTTCATTTTGTCTTATTTTTGAGTATCGGTCACGTTCATAATATGCTGAYAGTTTTATGTTCCCTGTCAAACACGGTAATTACTATTATATTATTTGGGGTGTCATATTGTTATAAATCTATATCAAATATTAATATGTACATCAATAGTATCAATATGCATTTTCAAAATCAATTTATCTTACACTAACCAACAACGCGCTACAATGTAGGTATGTACCTATAATTAAGTGTATGCACTTAAGTTGTACTTAATATCGCAGTGAAACAACAATTAACAAGATGAAATCGATATCTCTATTCAATTATTATTTATTAGAAATGCTTTGTTCTTATAAGATGAGCATTTGCATAGTCTCATCTTGTTGCATAAAAATCTACRAGCGAGTACAAAACGACTTAACAGTTGTTCAATCATTATTGCGGTACCAACCGATTTACGCAAGCCATTGACATTTTATTATAATATTCAAATCAAACGAAATCGCAGAGTATGAATATAATAGTATCATAGTGTAGCGCTGTCTAAGGCAGTCTATTTATTATTAAAAATATAAAGATACGAAATGAAATGATACTGTTTTGTGATTTTTATTTATTTGATACAGCTAGTTTAAAATATATCTTAAACATAACTATCGGTCAATAATCTACTCTAGGATTCGACACTCAATCATATGTTGTTACTTAGAACTGGTCCGAAGTTTTTTTAACGCGATTTCCAACGTGTGTCGTAAATTTGGCGGACATCGGGATCGGCGAGCCGTTTAACTATTTTTGAAGTTCACATCCAAAAAKCTCTACGCGCAGTACCTATTAGACGGCGTTCGTTATGGCCTCTTAAAAAGTGTTAATATTATCAGACGCGAGTCGATATAAACTTACTTTATTGCTGGACGTTATATGGACGAGAAACATATTTTATGTATTCCAGGTTTTAATGTTTTTAATCTCATTATTATGTTTTTATCATTCTCATCCATTCGATTCAATCAATTCTACAAATGCCCACAAAACCATATAAATAGGATTTGTGTACTATGTGCAGTTTCAATAATGGAGATAAGAAAAATATGAAAATATTAAGTACCACTCATAAAGCACAGTACAATTTGTATCCAATACTCATTTTAAAATTTAAAATTCCTTAAAAATCCTTAATTCCGTAATCGTGTTTAAAAATCTTTGAAAACTAAAATAATCCGACGACTCGATGCTGTGATAATTTAAATATTTATATTGCTTCTGTCTGAATAATTAAATTCTATACAATTACTCGTAAAACTATACATATTAATAGTTATTACTTTAACCAATAATTAAATTTATTCTTGTTTTAGGCAATAAATCTAATAATCTTAATGAAAACCATGAAGTCAGTTAATAGTTTTAAAAAAATATTAAAATTCTTCAACTACACAAGGATTATTCAGTGTGAAAAAAGTTAGCAAAGGTGTATAAAAATACTATTATCTTAAATTTTTCTTAATTGCTTAAATGCTATTAAATGGTTTCAAATTGTTCGAACTTAATCAATTTTGAAGTTAAATTAAATCGTAGTAATGAGAATTAAAATCCAATAAAATAATTTTATTATAGGTATTATGTATAAGAATTTTCAATCAAAAATTAGTTTTGCTATTTAAAAAAAATAATGCTCTTGTCGGTTTTGGCATCAAAAATCAAATTATAATCAATTAAGGCAATTTATTGTGATCTTTAACTTGGACACATTGTATTTCTATTACAATATGCCATTAAATTATTCAAAAGATTGTACACTGTAATTTTAAACCGTTAATTAACTTTTTAACTCGAAACGAAACTATATATATAGTGTGTTATCGATTTTAATTTAATTAATACTATGGTTATGTAATATAACTAAAATAGGTTCCTAACGAGTCTTGTTTGCTCTAAAAGTTTAGTAGCATATAATCCTATACCTACTACTATCACAGTATCACACTAATTTAGTTAGCATCCATTCAATTTCGAAACACAGAAATACACACACACACACACACACAACACATACTTTGATAACCATCACTGCAGGTATTTAAACATCCGGATCATCATTACTGCAATCTCGACAAAGATGACGTATAATATATTTTTTTTTTATTCGCAACTTCAATTGAAATAATGGAAAAAGAATGTTTTTTTACTACCAAATATTTTTATTATTGTGTTTAATATCTCACATTAATGCAGTTACATAATATGATAACAAACTACTGAGACCAACACAATATTTTCGATATTATTATAAATGGTTATAAAAGTTTGTTGTTTTATTTTTTATTTTTTTGTATCTCTTCATTGCATTCGGCTTCCATCAGTATTAATTGTTACGAACTGAATGTTTGTTGATAAAACATTATCGTTAATTCYAGAAAAAATTATCGTCGTAATATTATTTCGGGTAATATTCATAAACGATTATTATTTTGTTTAAAAACTATCATTACGTTTTTTTTTTTATTTATCATGTTCACTTGATCGATAAAACGAATTTCGATTTGTTTTCAACAGACGTGGTCGACATTTTTAAAAACGATCCTGTTAGAATTTAGCCCATATTGAAGTTGAAATATTATCGTTGTAGTATTCACCAATAGTGCGCTACCCGGGAGTCACAAAATGTTAGTAAGGGTTTGCCAAAAATTAATTTTAATTACTAAGATAAATTTAATTTTGTGGGTATAGTGGACTAGCGTTATATTTATCTTAAAATATTGTTAAGGGCCGTGGTACAAAATAAATTGTACGCAGTACACTGATCTACAAAACGAGGGTTTCGATAACTCAATAACTGTGGTGTGTCGGTGGTAATGGCGGCGTCAGTAGTGGTGGTGGTTTTTGCCATCTGCTGGTCAGGCTTTGGAGATTAGGTATATAAGACTCGTATATAATAATATTACGTTCACTATTAGCGCGGTTCTTGCATGTCATTAGACGAGGAAAGCTAATGAGAAGTGCAGAGGAAAGTCGCTACGAAGGTAAGATGGCACCATTATAATATACTCGTTTAATACGCCCCGAAATAGATTAATTCCGATGATTTCGTTATTATAATACCTATAATAACATTACTGTATGTCAGATGTCAACGGCAAGTCAGACGAACGACATTCGTTTGTGTCATGAACACGGATAGACCTCCTTATTATATGCAATATTATAATATAATTTACTTACTACATTAGCATAAGGTCCGCATTGTTAATATGACAAACTTCAGGGCCACTTTTCATCAAAAACTCTACACCCATTGTGCAATGGTCAATAAAATATTATTGAGCAAACATACTTTACTTTATTTAAATACCAACAACTTAATGTTCCGTGGGTATTATAATAAGTG